TACTCACCTTTACATGTACCAACTGTTGAAAAAGGTAAATTGGTATCAAATCTCATAAATTCTCACTTTAATTTATAAAAATTTAATTTTTTTTTGCTCCATTAAACTTTAAAATGTTAATCTGTCAAATGACAAATGATACAAGATGGCGAAATGTTGATGATGAAATGCAGATGGTAAAAGGATATTAATTTTTTTAAATTGAATTATGAAAACATTTATCGGTACACGTGCACAAATAGGGACATTTACATTACATTTATAGAATTTCATACGAAATCAGGTAAAATTATTTTTACCCGAGAAGGATAAGAGATAAAATTAGGAGAGAGTGGTCCTAAGTTGGCCGTGGGCCTAAGTTGGCCACCATGCGTTTTTCAGATATGGTATACTGGACGAATTTATAATTTTGTGGCATGATATATTGATAAACCATGATATAATTTATGGACCTAATTATAATCTAAGATTCTTCTACGCATTGTTAGACAATAATATTGTTTATGACAAAAAAAATTACATTTTTCTTGTTTTTCTGTTGGTTTTTTAATGAAATTTTTTTTATTAGCGTAATTAGTGTTGTGCAAAATTCAAACCGAACCGAGTTTTTTTCGGTTTTGGGGCGTCGAAATGTCGAATATTCGACATTCGAACTAGACGAAGAAATTCGAACAGTTCTGTTCGAATTATTTTGCACAGCTCTAAATGTAATAATTTGAAACTTGTAAAAATCTGCAGTGGTCCTAAGTTGGACACCTATTATTTTGCAAATAAATAAAATAAAACAATCCCACGTAAAAATGTTCCCGGGAATTGGGCCGAGAAATTCCCGGGAGTCACTCTCGAAAAATTCCCAGGAAATTCCCGGAAGTAAAAAAAACAAATGAATAAAAAAATTTTTCTTTTGTTTTTTTCACTCCCGTGAATTTCCTGGGAATTTCTCGAGAGTGACTCCCGGGAACTTTTTCACGTAGGATGCTTTATTTTCTAAACAAAAATAATTAAATAATGCGTATTTATTCTCCTAAATGTATCAAATTTGTCAAATTTCTGCGTAATTGAAAAGAATATGCATTTATTCCTTATACTCAAGCAAAAAAAGTGATGGGCAATTTAGGACCGCTAATTTCTAAAATGTCCAAAATGCAACTTTTCATTCTTTATTGTATTAAGAATACAAAAGCCATTCTACACGGAAAGAAAAAGTCCGTCAATCATTAATAGACTAGTATATTACTTTGAGACGCGACACAAAATCATTAAATGGATAACATTCTTTGAGTCACAATCAATGACGAGTTGCTTGCTGAAATTTAGAAAACTGTCATCAATATATAATACTCGTTTACTAAAATTTAGAAAACTGTCTATTAAATTTCCTATGACTATCAAAAGCATTCAAAAAATTCAACTTCTTTCAGAATCATCCCTAATTTTAGACACTATTTGGTACAGAATGAACACATTTTTTTCGTTGCACAGTTCCGATATTTTATTTACACTCTTAGACGCTTTAGACCAACACATTTTCGCATTTTAACGCAAGTAACCTAAAACCCAAGACTTACATATATATTCGCGTACTTAATAACTACACGTAGAAACGCACACTTATAACACTTTACGTTTAGAAGCGAACTGTTCTTATATACCAAATAACAAAATTTTTCGCAACTTGTGAGAAATGATTTTGCACTAATAACTACTTTTTAATTAGCGAGAAATATAAAAGAAAATATATTTTTATCGAGGTCAATTTCTAGACGCAATTCAACTGCAAATTATTAGTTAAGTTAAATATTTACATTACACATAATAGTATATGAGGCATTCCATGTCAAGTGATCCAGGTGTCTTACGGTGTAATGCTTATTTCGATAAATTTTACTCTTAAACTATTAAACATAAAAATTTGGCAAGGTACATTTTGGAAAGGGTTTTTCATGCTCTTTCGATTGAAAATAAGCATTTAAAAAAAAAATTTTTTTTGACCCAAAAAAATCAAAATTAAAAATAAATTTTAATTTTTTGGAAAAAAGGTCCCATTTTTTTTTTTTTTTTTTTTTTAAACGAAAGCTGAGGTTTTTTCCTAAAAGGACATAGAAATGAAAAAGTGGGACAAGAATGTTTAAACATTGAAAAACAGAGGTTTCTACTCTCTAAACCCGGTTTTTAGCTCTGTTTACGAGAAAATTCATTTTTTCAATGTTTAAACATTCTTGTCCCACTTTTTCATTTATATGTCCTTTTAGGAAAAAACCTCAGCTTTCGTTTAAAAAAAAAAAAAAAAAAAATGGGACCTTTTTTCCAAAAAATTAAAATTTATTTTTAATTTTGATTTTTTTGGGTCAAAAAAAATTTTTTTTTAAATGCTTATTTTCAATCGAAAGAGCATGAAAAAACCTTTCCAAAATGTACCTTGCCAAATTATTATGTTTAATAGTTTAAGAGTAAAAAATTATCGAAATAAGCATTGTACTGAAAAACCCAAAAATTTAACCCCCTTCCCCTCGGAAAATATTGGACTAGGTAAAAAAATATTTTCACGAAAAATTACTATCTATTAGTACTACAAAAGCCCCAAGTTTTGCTACGATTGGAGAAAAATTTTTCTCCACCTGGATCACTTGACATGGAATGCCTCATATAGGGATATGTATAGCAGACAGCAAAAACACATGGACTATAGAGAAACCGGAGGAAATGCGCATCGGTACACTGCGCAACAATGCGCTAGTGAAGAGCACCGATTTAGAATACGAGTCAACTAACGTTTCACAAACTTTCACTAATGATTCGTAAACATTCAAACAGCCATTGATAACAATTCAGCATTAAATCTAAAACAATTGGTCACATACTGGCATTCTAATCAATCCATGACTTGTTTTTTAAACTTTTATGAAGTTTTTCAATCGTTAAGTAAATTTAAGTAACCATCAACGGAAAAAGAGTCCCATCTCAAAGTAATATACTAATCCATTAATGGTTGACGGACTTTTTCTTTCCGTGTATAACGTTCTAAATAACATAAAATTACAGGAAAACGATCGCTGAACACAATTATATACTTGCTGACTTGATTAAATTCCATTTTGTTACGATTTTCGACCAATTAGCTTAGGCGGCCAACTTAGGACCACTCTCCCCTACTTAATTTTTCTTAAACATATAATTTTTCTCTTTCTTTTTGAAAATTTTATTTCAAATGAAGTTTCAACCAAAATTTAATCATCACTTCAAACTTTATTAGTAAAATTTATTAATAAAAAGGCAGAATAAATTAAATTGTATTTCGCGTTATATTTTACTCATTCTTCATATTATTCCTAAAAATGTGAAGGTTTGAACAAATGAAATCAAAGTTATTGAATTTTTGTTCAAAATTCACGAAAAAATCAAAATATATTAAATTATTTAAACTAAATAAAAGTCTGTTTGGAATTTCATGTGAAGTTCGCCTGAAATTCGTACGAGACATTATAATTAATTTGCAGCAATAATTAATTATGTTTTTTATAAAAAATTTAATTAAATTAAAAAAATTCTGTTAAAATCTTTTCTTGTAATGTTTTTGACATTACTCGCAAAGAATTTACAACTTTTAATTCATATCACGTAAAGTAGAAAAATAAATGTGCGTCATTTCTCATAAAATTTTCGTGTGCAATTTCGAGCGAATTGCATACCATAACCTTAAGGGGATCCCACTTATCGACATTGCAGATCTAAAACGATTAAAAATCTGCAACGACCGTTTCTTGGAAAATATAAGATATTATTACCTATAAATTTGGAAAACTCATTTTTTATCATGAATACACTGGATGAGTATTTTATTTGTTGTAATTATTTGAAAAAAATTATCGTTAGAAAGTTAAATATGGGCAGTTTCCCTGTAACACATCTTTGACTACTAGCTCAAACTGCAACGACCATTTCTCGAAAACAACGAAACAAAATAATTTTTCCATTTGGGAAATTTAATTTTGTAGGAAAATACGGAGGATGAGACTCATTTGCCATTCAGGAATAAATAAAAACTTTATTTTTTGTAAAGTGTATATGTGACAGCTGTTCGGTGGCACTTGATATTTAATTTACTAGCATTAACTTTTCTTTAACAATTTGAACAAAATAAATGTCTCTCATTGTGTGTCTTTCATCACTAATGAATTTTTACTCGAAAAGAAAACATATTTTATTGTTGCTAATTTAAAGCTAAAAATAATCAAAATTGGTCAGTTTTGGAACCTTTGGCGCCATCTCTTGGTTCTATGAACTACTAAAAGCTGTCACATGTGTTCTTCTTGTTGTAAATTGCTATACAAAACAGTTTACATAAATTAAAGTTTTTTATTGTTGTTTTCATATGTAATGAATCTTATTATTCTTCGCTTGTCTTCCTCAATAATTACACACAGTAGTAATCCCTTATCTACACCCAACGGTACAGTTTATAGCACCACAGGTAGCAAATTCTCAAAAATCCCCTCTACTTCTCTCCGGCCGGTGTCCTCTTCGATTACCTCACTTCGTTATTTGTACCCAACGGAACAACATCGTGTAAAATGAAACGCTCTCAAAGTGAAAAGAAAAGTGTTTCAAAGAAAAGAAAACTCGACAAAATTTTACAAGAAGTGCGACAAATCAGAGATGAGATTTCCAGTTATTCTTCAAGCGGAAGTGAATCTGAAAATAGTACTTCAGATACTAGTAAGTAAATAATTAAAAAGTGGGCCGCCATGCCTTCATTATAAATTAGTTAAATCGATTTTCGCTAAAAAATCAGAAACTACATAAAATCATATGGCCTCGCTATAGGTCTATTAAAAATTATAAATCATTTAACATTTATAAAATTCGACTTCGCTATAAGTCCATAAAAATTACTTAATAATCAAATTTTAAAACCAAAGTTTTGCTATAAACATTACAAAAATTAAAGTCAATATTAAATATTCTCAACAATTTACGAAATTAAATTTTAAATTCACAGGCGACACTGAGAAAATTTCCTCTCCGGGACCATCCGATAACAATAACGAGGACAATAGAGGAAAGGAAAACAATGAAAGTACAAACAAACTCATTGACCTTCTGGGATCAAATCCCGAAAATAAAAACAAGCAACAAGATCCCCTTCATGAGGAAATTTGTCTGCGATGGAATGTTTACCTGAAGCAAGGACTAAATAAGGAACAAAAAGAGGAAGTCATGAAAAAATATCCAGTGTTTGAAAATTGCCAACTAATGATGCCTCCAAAACTAAATGCAGAAGTGCAACACTGCATGGATAGTAAAGCTATTCGACACGATCAATTCCTGGAGAAACTGCAATTACAAATTGCTCATGCCTTATCAGCAACAGGTGTAGAATTAAATAATATTCTAAAATCTGAGAATCACGAAGAATTAAAAAATACATGCTCGACCCTTGCAGATATTGGCCAACTACTTTGCAATATTCATCAAGCTATCTCATCAAGTAGGAAATATCAAATCCTACCCTACTTGAACTATAGTTCCAGGAAGCTAATCGAAAATAGCGATAGAGACGAGTTCCTTTTAGGTTCAAATTTTGCCGAAAACGTCAAATCAAAGGAAGCCGTTCATAAAGTTGCGAAGGATTTAAAAGTAGTTAAAAAACATTACACCAATAAGCCTTCCACATCAAAACATCAGACACAGTCATCGGATTTCCATTCAAAAAATACAAGGAAACAACAGGATCATTTAAACTATCCACGACATCCTTCGTCTCAAAGGAAAAAGTACACTCCATCGATCAAGGACCAGGACCATCAAAAGAGGGGCCGAACCAAGAAATATTAACTGAGGTAAGCCCATATGCGGGTCGTTTAAAACATTTCTTTCACAATTGGTTAGAAATCACCCATAATAAGTCTATTTTACAGTGGACTCAGGGAATTAAAATACCTTTTTCTAAATTTCCCAAACAAAATATAAAACCAAAGGTAACCATACATACCAATGAAAAAATTCATTACAATGCGGCTATAAAAGAATTAAAAAATGTAGGGGCAATTCAAGAAAAAAATTATAAAAAGGGTGAATTTTTCTCCAGCTACTTTCTAGCCCTGAAACCGAATGGCAAGTATCGATTCATTTTAAATTTAAAAAAACTTAATCAATCTATTCAAACTAGTCACTTTAAATTAGAAGATTATAGAACCGCTTCTAAATTAATAACTCAAGACAATTTTTTAGCTATCATTGATATGAAAGATGCTTATTATCTTCTACCAATACATGAAGAACATAAAAAATATTTGAGATTTGAATACGAAAACAAAATATTCGAATTCCAATGCTTACCATTCGGTCTCAATATTGCCCCATACATTTTTACTAAACTCTTGAAGCCTGTAATTCAATATCTCAGAGAAACATTAAACGTTCTCTGCGTTATCTACCTAGATGATTTACTGATAATAGGTAAAACCAAAAAAGAATGTACCACATCAGTAAATCACGCTCTTGAATTACTAAAAAAGCTAGGTTTCTTAATAAATCACAAAAAAAGCAATTTAATACCCTCGAAAGAAATAAAATTTTTAGGATTCCTCTATAACAGCCATGATATGACAATAAGACTGCCCGACGACAAAAAACTAAAATTAGTTAAAACTCTAAATTATATAAAAAATAAAAATTATTGTTCAGTAAGAGACTTCGCGAGCATAATCGGGAAATTAGTCGCAGCGTGCCCTGCTGTTAAGTATGGCTGGGTTCACATTAAAAATTTAGAAAGGGCTAAATTCGAGACGTTAAAAATAGAACCTGAAAATTATAATAGAAAAATGCATATACCCTCTTATACAAATCATGAATTAGAATGGTGGATAAATAATGTAAAATCATCTCATCAAAATATGAAAACCCCAACAAATTTTCAAATTGAAATTTTCACAGATGCTTCAAAAACGGGTTGGGGAGCTTGCGCGAATGGGAAGGAAACAAAAGGCTTTTGGTCAACTAATGAACAAAATTTACACATTAATCAATTAGAATTACGCGCCGCCTTCTATGGATTACAATCATTTGCTAAAGAATTTTCAAACTGCGCAATTCTATTGCGCATTGATAACAAAACAGCAATTGCTTGTATTAACAAAAAAGGGAGCGTTCAATTTCCAAAATTGAATAAAATAGTATACAAAATTTGGCACTGGTGTGAATCAAAAAACATTGAAATATTCGCATCATATATTTCAACCAAAGAAAATGTTTTTGCTGACCGTCAGTCCAGATCTCAATTCATAGAAACCGAGTACTCGTTAAATAATAAAGTATTCAGTACAATTTGCTCAAAATTTAATTACCCTACAATAGATTTATTTGCCTCGATGCAAAATAAAAAGTGTAAAAGATATGTATCATGGGGACCTGACCCAAACTCAGAATACGTTGACGCATTTACACTGAATTGGCAAAACGAATACTTTTACGCTTTTCCTCCTTTTTCATTAATAACGAGAGTATTAGATAAAATCATTCAAGACAAAGCTGAAGGAATAGTTATAGTACCAAAATGGCCCTCCCAACCTTGGTACCCACTTTTTAAGAAACTTTTGAATGCCACTGCACTTTATTTTATGCCACAAAATGATTTGATTCTCTCTCCTTTCAGCCAGCCACATCCTCTGCACAAAACACTTATCCTGGTTGCAGGGAATTTGTCAGGGAAAAATGGATAAAAAATCAAATTCCACATAAGGCAATTCCAACTATGTTAAACTCAATTTCGCAAAATACTTTAAAACAATATAATAGTGTTTATAAAAAGTGGTGGGAATTTTCCACTAATTATAATCAAAATCCGTTTGAATACAATCTTGAAAGAGTATCAGATTATTTAATAGAATTATCAGAAAAAGATTTATCATTTTCAAGTGTAAACACTCATAAATCAGCGCTTTCCTTTTTATTTTCATTTAATCCGGAAGATGATAAAATCTTAAAAAGAATACTTAAAGGAGTTTATAATAAAAAACCGCCCACACCGAAATACGAGTCAACTTGGGATCCTAGTCCAGTTCTAGATTATTTAAAAAAATTACATCCTCTTTCATCACTAAATCTCACACAAATCACACTTAAATTAACTATGCTACTTGCTCTTACAACAGGCCATAGAGTTCAAACATTTTCGTCAATTCAATTAGAAAACATAAAATTTTTGCAAGATAAAATAGAAATAAAAATATCAGGAAAATTGAAAACCTCAGGAAAAAATAAATATCAACCACTAATTATACTACCATTCTTTGCAGAATGCCCAGAGCTTTGTGTGGCAACAGTTTTACAATTCTATATAGAAAAAACAAAAGAATTGCGACCAAGCAATGAGCAATTTTTGCTTATAACATATAAAAAACCCTATCATAGAGCAACATCACAATCAGTTAGTAGGTGGTTGAAAACAACCTTACAAGAAAGTGGAATAGATACAAACACTTTCTCAGGATATAGTACTAGACATGCGTCCACCTCTGCAGCATACAGAAAAGGTATTAATATCGAAACGATACGCAAAACTGCAGGGTGGACTCATGCCTCTGAAACTTTCAATAAATTTTATAATAAACCGATAACACAAAATTCCGACGCATTTGCAAGAGCTGTGTTAAATTTAAACAAAAAATAATTGTATGTAAAAGAAAAATTATTTGTTCATCGTTCAGTTTATCGTTTAATATTTAATCGTGTTTATTTAATACCTGTTAATTAATGAATGAAAAAAAAAAAAAAAAAAAAAAAAAATTTATTATTATTATAATAATAATTAATTAAATTGTTAAAAAAAGTTATATTGTAATTAAAAAATACATAAATAAAAACAAACGTTCAGATCACAAAGTCTTATCTTTAAACATCTACTGTGTGTAATTATTGAGGAAGACAAGCGAAGAATAATTGTAAGATTGATCGACTTACCTAATAAGGAAGATCAATCGAAATTATTCGAGCTTGTCTTCCGAAAATAATTACATTCCCTCCCTCCCATTCATATACCCTAAGTGATCTGAAATAATAGAAAAAAACCAAACAACGAAGTGAGGTAATCGAAGAGGACACCGGCCGGAGAGAAGTAGAGGGGATTTTTGAGAATTTGCTACCTGTGGTGCTATAAACTGTACCGTTGGGTGTAGATAAGGGATTACTACTGTGTGTAATTATTTTCGGAAGACAAGCTCGAATAATTTCGATTGATCTTCCTTATTAGGTAAGTCGATCAATCTTACAATTATGTGTATTTTTTATTAAAATTAAGTTTGCTAAATGGAAAAATTATTTTGTTTTGTTGTTTTCAAGAAAAGGTCGTTGCAGTTTGGGCTCTTGGAAACTGACCATATTTAATTTTCTAACAATATATTTTTTTTAATAATTACAACAAATAAAATACTCATCCTATGTATTTATAATAAAAAATGACTTTCACAAATTTATAGGTCATAATTCCTTATATTTTTCAAGAAACGGTCGTTGCAGATTTTTAACTATTTTTGATCTGCATTTTTGGTATGTGGAATCCCCTTAAGAAATTCACTCGAAATTCGCACGAAATTCTGTTTCAAAACGCCGCACGAATTCATAAAATATTTCGTCTAAACTTCTATTTAATTTCGGTCGAATTTTATATGAATTACTGCTCTAAATTCGGACGAATTATTTTCACTTGGGAAAGAAATGTAGTTCTAGGTGCCAAGTAATGAAGAAAAAAACTGCTAGATTTAGTAAAAAAATTTCGACTATTGAAAAAAGAATGGATTTTCTGGAAATTAAAGAAAGGTAAAAAAACATCATTTTATATGATGTTCAACGCTCTACAACTGAAGGAGAGAATTTGTTACTAACTGTGCAAATGATCTTCAAAAAAGCAACAATTAATATTCCTGATGATGGCTTTGAATCAATTTTCTTTTTAGGGAAAAAAGTGAACCGAGACCAGTTTTAATTAAATTTACAAATATTAAATACAGAGATCTCATATTAAAAAAATGTCAAGAATCTTCTCACACACAATATATTTTTTTCACCAGACTTTACGCCAGAACAACAACAGACGCGTAAAAAGATAATGGCATGTGTGTTTCGAATGGAAGAATGAAGGATGACTCACCAGCAGAATATACGTTTATTAGGGGAAAAAGTTGTTCTATTATTGATTTGGTTTGGGTTAATTCATATGGATTTCATTTTATTGAAAATTTTAAAATAATGAATATTATAACAAAATCAGATCATTTCCCCGCAGTAGTCTCGTTAATCACCGATAATTCAAATAACTCTTATTGTAATATAAATAAAAAATGTCAGTTATTTAAATGGAACGACGAAAAATCTGAATTGTTTAAAAATAGCATTCAATACCCTGTAAATACTGATCTCGACAAATTATCAATTGAAAAGTTGACTCTAAACTTAATGAAGTCTATTAAAGACTCGGCTGTATTATCAGAAATGGTCACATTTACACCAAAAAGATATAGAGTTTCTAAGCCCTGGTTCGACAAAAAATGCAGAGAAAAAAAAGAATCTTAAAACCTTACTAAAGATGTGTAAACTTTCTTGCTTTAAAGAGAATGATATAGTAAAATATAACAATGCTGAAAAAGAATACAATAAAATATTATTTAAAAAAAAGGTGTATAATGAAAATATTATAGAATCTTTGAACAGGATTGGGAAATCTAGTTATTTTTGGAAAATATTTAATAGTTACAGAACTCGAAAATATACTGTTAAAAATATTGAATTAAACATGTGGACAGAATTCCTAAAGTTTCTTTTTCCTCCCCTTAATACTGTTAATAATTCTCTTACTCATTTTGATGTTATGTATAATCCCTATTTGGACCCTCAGATTACTCTGGATGAGACCCTGGCTAGTTTGAATCATTGCAAAAATAGAAAGTCACCTGGACCTGATGGTATCTCCTACGAATTCTTGAAAAACCTGCCATATTAAATACGCCATTTTGAATTTTAAAATCTGACTTCATATTCGTAATTAGTGACTCCGAAAACCCCCTGATATAAAGTTTCATGAAAATTGAATAATTTTTTTAATTTGATGTCTGCCATATTGAATCCGCCATTTTGAATTTCTTTAAAATCTGACTAAATATTTGTAATCAGCGTCCACAAAAACCTCTATGATATAAAGTTTATTGAAAATTGAATAATTTTTTAAATTTTATGTCTGACATAATTACTCGCCATTTTGAATTTTAAAATCTTACTTTAAATTCGTAATCAAACTTGAATATGTATCTGCAAATGAAAAGTATTTTTGGAAAGCCTGGTTATTTGGCTATAATTTTGCTGTACATTATTTTACTGTAGACTCAAATCCCTACGAGATAAGAATGAAAAAGTAAACAAAAAATTTTTAACTGTCCTTGCCCCAGTACCGGTGCAAGGATAGTTAAAAGAATTCGAATGCTAAAAATATTATAGAAAATCAGTTAATTTTCGTTTTCTTTATTTTATTGGATTTAGACTATTCAAAATTGATATCTCAAGTATTAAAAATATGTATTGAACATTTTCTGAATTTCAATTATTGTATTAAAATTCATCTGAACTAGAATCAGAGGTTTAACCAATTTTCTTCAGATGACCACCAATTTCTTAGTTAATAAGCATCGTTTTCCGTATATAATTACGCACAATTATGTATATCAAGCTGAGAAGAACAATTAAATACTTTTTTAAAATTTGCAATGTCATTAATAGGATTTTACCGAGCCGTATTATCTCTAACTATCCTTGCCCCGTGAGTCCATATTTCAGTTTTTTCTAAATTTTATGAAACAACGTGTATTAATTTGAAAATAAATATGATATTCGTGTTCAGCAGGAAATTCCACTCCGGAAAACACTTACGTAAATAAATATTCTGAAACTCTAATATAAAAAACAATATGATAAACATTACGTTGACATTTTATCAAAACAGACTTTTTTCAAAAATAAACTCCTAACTTCGCAAATGGTGACAGATTGACTTGTAATTTTTAAAATCATCTTTTGGTGTTAAAACGCGAATATACCATGAATTACGCGATTTTTGAGCAAGCCGTCTAAGCATAACAGCAACTAACTACCCTTACCCCTTAACTATCCTTGCCCCATCCTCCCCTATCTTTTTTTTCATTTGCCCATGAATCCAATTGTTAGTTTTTTAATACAATGGCTGGTTTCTTCATGGGACTTAATGGGTTAAATAAACTATTAACAAATTGTATTCATTTTTACTTAATATATTTTTAATTTACTTACTTGTAGCTAACGATTCCATGTCACAAACTTAAAGAGCCTCGGCAAGTCCCATACAAAAAATGCCTGTTTTTCGTACCTCGAATTTTAAAACTTTTTTTATACTAAATGGTCAAATATGATGACCAAATAATCCCTGCAAAATTTCAAAGTGAGCATATGCGCCGTTTAGGAAATATAGAGGTTTAAAGTTGACCATGTCCAATAATGGAAAAATAGTAATTTCACATATATGGAACTCCATTTTTGAGCCGCCATTATGATTTAAAATTTTGTCTATAGTCCTATCCTGTAGCTTATATATTTTTGTTACGTTATTTGTAACATTTGGAATTATTTTTCTGATATTTTGTAGTAGAAAAAATTGATAATTAAACAAAAATTTGAAGAAAATCAGACTTTTTTTTATAACGCCATTCTATAGAACGCACATGAAAACATAAGAAATGATGATTGATGAATTTTTCTATTGATTTTTAAGTACCGAAATAATTCCTTAAACGTCATGACAAAAGTTTGTACATTTGGGCGTTGAAGGGTTAAATGCTACATATTGGGTCCTAGTAAGCTGTAATTCGATAAATATATGTATTTTTACATGTAGATTACAGGAGATAAATCGCAACTCGAAATACAGTCGCTTGATTATTATTCCAGTGGAATCCTGTTGCCGCATTTTCGGAAAAATCACAAACCACAAGAATGTTTGCAGGTTAGCTCGAAGAATAGAAATCCATTGTTGATAAGCAATTTCATAAATATTATTGTCTTTAAAAATCTCGCTGAGTAAGTCTTTAAGAAACTTTTGACAAATAATAATAATAATTTTCTGATTCCTCGGCGGCTGTTTCCCTCAGGGATAAATCAAGGGAAAATCCAAGGAAACAACTTCACTTCTATTCACACTCTTTATTTATTCACAACTTTTTACACAAAACTCCAGTTCTCTCACAACACTCAAAATTTTACAAAACTATTACGCGCTTTCTCTCTACAAGTCTCTTTGAACACACTTTCTACACATCTCGTAGAACTGATTACAAAAAAATGTCGGCGAAAAACTACCGGCACCTGTTTCTGGATTTTCTCAACACGTGCTCGGCTTCTTCAACTACTCTTCTCTCTCGTTCCAACTGGCTCTACTCTCTCTATCTCTTTCTAATAATAATCGGCTCTGCCCTCTACCACTTTCTCTCCTACTAACTAGCCGCGCGACACACATTCACCACTGATAGTGGGTCACACGGCAGTTAGTACATAGAAAATGATGATTTATAATTAATTTCTTCAAAAATTTCCATGGTCCTACTCTGATTTTTACATGGCTCATAGGAAAAAAGGCAAGCTTTCGATTAGGATAGGTTAGAAAAAAATAAAAAAACATCGATTTTGAGATATATTGAAATTAAG